CACACACACACACACACACACACACACACACACACACACACACACACGCTTGGCCATGGTATGACCAAAAACAAACACCTTTCTGCCTTCATGTTTTAACAATGTCTTTCACGTATTAGTATCTATTGTATAGATAGAATTATATTTATTTTGCAAGCCAGAACAATTGGTACTTTAATTTGTGTTTATATTGCTGAAGGTATGAACTCTAGATTTTATTTAAAAAAAAAGCTTTAAAATTAATAGACTGTTGCTCCTTGTTTCACGGAACTGAAGTAATCTTGATGAGGAAGAAGCAAAATGGCACCCTTATATCTTTTACGCTTTCCTTTACTTGGAAAAATTGTTGATATTTCTAAATAATTTTAAGTAGAATAAGAAATACAAGGAGGTGCATGCAGTGAAGATGAATGTCTAGGGACAGAGCTTCCAAGGTCTTGAATCTTTTCGTGATTGTAGTGAGTAAAATCCTAGACTTTGGGGATATATATATATATATATTTTATTATTTTCCTGTTATCTTTAAATGTCTGAGTGTACTTCTAAGTCTGTCAATGAAAAATTATTTGCTATGAGATCTGCTTGGATGGATTTTTCCCCCTGTTGCTTTCTGTAAATTAAAGCTATTCTCCCCTTCCCTCTTTTAATGGTTTAGTTAGAAGCGACCACTGGTTACTTAGAGCACACACAAATAGTAAGCACATATCTTGTTGTCCTTTTAAAATTATATGGTAAATCCTGTTGCTTTAGATTATAAATTCTTTAATCAGTCAGAGGTTGAAATCAAGTTTGCCTCTGGCTTATCTGAGAGAAAGATTATAAAAAAGCATATTAAATATAGATTTCATAATGTTGACATTAAGGGACATTTCCTAATTGTGATTTTTCATGAATTTGTTTTGGTTCCACCCTTATACCTACAGGATTAGTGAGGTTTTTAGAAAAAAAAACCAAAGAAGCTAAAATGAGGATTAATGTTCTTATTTTGTAACATTTTCTAAAATCTAACTTAAAAAAATGTTCTCTACACAATTAATCATAGCTTTGCATTTTCTTTATCAATAATCATTACTCCTTCAGGAGATAGTGCAAAATCTATACCTATTTCCCTTCTTGAAACTCTTGACCTTTTTGGTGTGTGAAATAACAACGTTACCAGTGGAACACATAGATTTTCCTCACAGGTTTGCTGGTTGGTACAAATCAGTTGTCTGGGTAACTCAATACAGTGCTACACTAAAATGTATTTTAACTAGTGTTCTTATTAAGTATCATTAGCTAGTATTGGGCTTTATTTGCTACATCACTTGTAGTAAGTTTTTACTCTTCCAGAAAATTGTTACTATCTCATAATTCATAATTCATAATTTCATACTTATTAACTATTTCATAGATAAATTGGGGGTAATTGGGGATGAGGTGTCCAATAAGTAGATGGCAGGTTAGATAGGGAACATTGTAAGAGCAAAGTACATGGGCCCACTTGAGGGACACATGGGAAAACATTTTTAGAAGCTTAAATTGAGCTTATGTGTTGGAATAAGATAATGTAGGTGAAAATGAAAGCTCTTTTACTAAAAGGTAACTTAGGACTTAGCCAACTCTCCCCATAACGATGAATGGATACACAAGGTTTTCAGAGAGTGGAAGGGCGCCTTAAAGGTTCAAATGTAGCATGTGCCTTCTTTTTTATACATAGTAACAGTTCAGTCCTTAAGTAGTTTGACTGAATGTATGCCAGAAAGCTGTTGACTACAAGTGTGATAGAAGGATTAGAAACTGTTGCCATTTTTTGTAGTACTTAGTGAGTTGGAACTTGCTGGTTAAAAGGTTTGGTTATGGGGCTGAGAATTTGGAGTAAGCGGGACCTGCTTCAGGGTGAAATAACGGTTTCAGTCTACCTGGAAAAAGAGAGCCTTTTTGGCTGAGCATCTTAACAGAGCTGAGGCCAGTTCCGATTGTCCCTTTGCTATGGCACTGGTGGTTCATGTTTCCACTAGTGGCATTTGGAAGAACTGCTGTGAGTCAGATGTTTAGAAGTTGTTTGGGAATAGTGCCACCTTATGGTTTAAGAAATAAATCATTCATCACAAGTTGGCTTTCCCTCCTAAAAAAAAAAAAAAAAAGGATTTTTGGAAGTAATAGAGGCAAAGTCAAACTAGTTGTCTTATATATAAACGTGTCACTGGGCGTAGAAATGAGAGAGGAGAATAAAAAGAGGGTAAATGTAGAGTGTTTGTCTTGGGTAAAAAGCAATCTTTCCTGGGTAATGCTGTAACTCAGTGTAACCAGTGAACGGTATTTTGTTAGCTATGTGTGCATTAATTAGTTATGTATCTGGAAATACTACAGAAGGTATAAAGAATTTGGGTGGTTTCAGTTTCATTAAACTCTATTATAAACTGAAGAGTTTGTGAGTCAGGGACTTGAAGTCA